ACAGAGACAGATGCCCTCAAAATGACAAACAACAATATCATCTCTGTCAAAACTAAAATTTTGGATCCAGGGAAATTATCCATTTCATACACAGGAAGCAGTCCTGAGTGGTGGTTAGCACTTTGACCTGAATGGAAGCCAGTCATAAGCTGCAGTAGCCCAGATTTTACAGAAGAAATTTGGTTCCTCGTTCTCCCACAGAGAGTAAAGAATCATAAATCACATCCTCTATAAAAAAACACACTGCAAATTCAATCTGACCAAACCAGAAATACATTTGTAAACATCTGATTCGCACACACAAAAAAAAATTTACCCCTTTTCAGAAGGTTTACATAGTCAATATTAAACTACTGAGCAGAATAGCTGAAGATATTGGTAGCCAGTAATGCAGACGAGACTGCTGTTAATTGTTAACATCTCCTGGGCTACACTTCCTATGTCCCTGCACAGATGATGAATAAAATTATTTACCTATTCAAGTAATGAGAGCTATGCATTTTGATATCCACATACACAGTAACTCAGGCCTCCTCTGAGATCCCTACCTGTAATTAGGAACAGATGTAGGATCTTGTTCCTGAATTGATAAAAACAAATTTCAGCCCTACGATGATATATGGCTTAGTGGCACAGTTAATGGGAAGAATACCTCTGCAGAATGATTCCCCTTTAGGCACTGGATCTAATCAGCTCCCCTCTGCTCAAGAACCCCACTACTTTAGATCCAGTGTTTTTCCACCACTGATTTGGGACACTCACTAAAGCATTCACCAGTGACACAGCAAGGGCATAGCAAGAAAGTGATAAGCAGCGTTCATATGGCTTCACCCTGATGAAGAAAACCACATATCTTACCCTTCAAAACCACAGTAATTCTCTAACACTTCTCCATGATGGAGTCATTTAAAATTAAGTATACACAACATTATGTGCTTTCAGCAACAATTCTCACAGTTCAGCATGGGCAGCTGGGGAACACTCTTCAAATTATTTCATGAGCGAAACTCAAGATGACATTCAGCATAACATATTCTATTCTCCAAATGTCACACTACTGCAGGAAAACATGCCCACCACAAAGGTTTCATGAATTGAAAGTAGTTGCATTTTTTACTTTGCATCAGCTGGCCGAAATAACCCAAGAGGAATAGGTACCTGCCCATTATCTTGCTCTCACACATAGGCACCAATACCTAGGCACTGGCCCAGCAGTAGTGAATGCCCTAAAGGGAATTTGCCATCTACAGATGCTGCAGGCTGACCCCTCCCCAGTCAGATGCATCATTTGGACTACCCCATGTGGGCTTGTGCTAGCCCCACTGGATGCTATGACAGCAACAAGAAGACACTGAGGGTCTGTGGCTGGCTCAACCATTCACAGCACTAGGCCTGGAGAGCTTCAAAGCAGCTGCTGTGCTCGTTTTCCTCGAATGACAAGTAAAGCTGCCTTCTTTCATGTTCCTTTCTTGACCACTAAATGTCCCTCACTTGATTTCCCCTCACCCAGCAAAGCTTATAATTCCCACTGGCTATTGGCATAGGTGACTAGAATTACACCTTGTGAAAACCCAGAAGAGCTGCGGCTCCTCAAGTCTGTAGAATAGAGACAGAAATTTGTATTTACTGAGGTCATCTCAGTACAAGGAAGTTTCACCGGTTTCATTTAAGGTCTGACTGAAACAATTCCAGTTAAACTGATGCAAATGCCTTCATACATCTTTATTTAAAGATGTTAAATGGGGGTTTACTTGATTTCAAACCTAATCCAAATCTAAAAGAAGCAACCAGATGAAATAAGACTGTCCGTGCCACATTTTCCATCAGTTTAACTAAGCAGGCTTACCAGTAATCTTAGTGCAACTCCCTCATGTATACAAGGTCTGAAAATACATTCACTCTCCAGCATTACCCTGTTTCATGCCAGGAGAATTTGCAGCTGGAAGCGGCTCAGGGGAACTTCAATGCCTAGAAATAAAAGAATTGTTGGGGAGAATCATAGCTGCTGTGCTCACCAGCCCTCTATGGACATTGCCTAAATTACAGTAATTAATATAGGGGAATATTTCTGGGCTCCTCAGCAGTTTATAAATGTTACAAAAAAAGGATTGCTTTATATGTCCCCTGATGGGTTTTAAATGTTAATAAATGATGTGCAAGAAGGTATTTTACATCTCTCTATTTAATAGTGAGCTGACAGCTGCAATTATAGGCCAGTCTCTGACCCTGACAATCCTTCCAGGAATCTGAGGAGTAAATGGAGTAACTTTCTTCCAGAATAAGAGAGTGCATTGGGATGCTGGCTCAGCATTTAAACATCCAGACACAGAACCAAGGTGAGACATTTCTGGCACCCTGGGATCTCCCTTTCACTGCAGTATGCACTTGCCAGTCACTGGTACCTGCTTACTTTGTCACCAGAGACCCATTGCCACTCTTCCAGAGGCGGCAACAGCTCTTCATCTTACAGGTACAGGAGAATGAATGGAGCAACCAGCCAACTTGCTATATTGCTCCTCTGCTGTGGACTAGAAAAAGAGCTTGTCTGTAGCTGGCACATCCAGGACAGCACAGGTAGACAGGGGTATCACATGTGTCACTGCATGCTCTTTCACTCTCTTTTTGGCACAAAATCTATTACCACTGAATCCCTGCATCATTCTCACTAGTACGAGGTTTCTGTGGCTACACACCTATGCTCAGTATCATGGAAAGTCTAGGACCGGCATGCTTACCATTTCAAAAGGTAGTAAAGTGACTGCTCAATAATGCATGCCCCAGCAGAAAGCCCCACTAGTTTTTATTAAGTCCAAGTTACTACTCTTCCCTTCTGCTCTGTCCAGCCCTCACCAGCAGAACAGAGCCTCTGTGAAGTTTAAGGAAGTTTGAAGCAATATTTTAGCTAGGTGTGTTTCAGGTTACAACCTTTGTTGCAAGGTAATAGCAGAGGGAGAAGAATCCTCGCTTTGTACCAAGGCCCTAAACCTGCTCACAACACTGTATTCCTGCACACCTGTATATTTTCACTTTCTATTTTCTCTTATCCAAAAATAACCTTTGGTCTTGATCCTTAAATTGGCCGTGTTCACAGTTGTACACACTTGTGTACACATTCATTATCCCTTTTAACCACTGAGGTACTGCCTAAGGCAGCACACAGTTGTTTTGAGGCACTTCAGTCCATGCTATATGCGTTGCTTCACTCCACAGGAACTGCAACCCACTGACAACAAAAGGAAGCTCTGACACTGAATGAAACCAAGCAGAACTGTGAGTAGCATCTTGCATTTCCACTACATCATTGCAAACACAGGGGAAGGGGTTTTACAATTCTATTAAAATCCAACAAGGTAGCATTTTTGCCAATGACAACCTCATGGTTTCTTTTATTTTAGAAGGGCAGAAATTTAAAGTATAATATATCTGATTTATTAGAAAAACTACATTTTTCATTATTTACCACCTCTTCTTCTTTTCCTTTTTTTTTTTTTTACATGTAGAGTTGCAACTAATTTCTTTCCTTCTTCACTTTCTAGCGTAGGATTAGAGCAGGGCTTGTTCAGCTATTACAATTATAGTTTTCTTTCAATGACTGGTTTCACAAGTGCACCTCTGCAAAATTAGAAGAAATCTTGGGTGGAAAGAGCAAATTTTTTTTCAGATTTGGACAGAATTCGGTTAACATTTTCACAGCTTTTATGCTGTACCCAATTACAGACAAACACCATTTAACATTTTTAATTTATATATTCCTTCTGTTTTGCACAAAGGTTTCTCAGCTGTGTCTGATGAATGGGTCTTGTTTACGCCTGCAAAGTCTGGGTCTTTAGTACAGAATTTCTTGGACTAAGTTATAGCTATTCTTCAATTCCTGTCTGTATTTGGTTATACATTTCTTCTGGTTTGCATTAACTCATATATAAATGGCTATGACCACCCGTTCATTCTTCAGAACTTCACTGTTATTGATTACGGCCGGGATCCCAGAGCTTTTGAACAACAAGGACCACATGCTACTACAGAGTTTTTCTTAGGCATCATGTCTATCTCATTCTTGATGGCACATGTCAAGCACATTCATATTAAGTCAAATAATATTGCTTTGGCTACTACTAGAGTCAGTATTTACGATGAAGCATGGCAGTACGTTATTGTATTTGTCTGTCTAGATATTATAATTGCCTGTTAATTATATTTAGCTAATAGAACAGGGATAGAAGCAGGACTACCATATGGCTAGTCATGTCTCCATGGAACAATGGCTGTAGGTCCTGAAACTTAGCTTGAGAGTCAACAGCCACAAGCGTGTGGTAAAAGACTTCTGACCAGCGATACTAGAACTCAAGCAGAGACAGGCAGTGAAACCTGTGGCATCAGGAAGTACACCTGTCTGGTTCAGCTGCCCTTCAAAGCCAAATTCCACAAGTGCTGGAAGCTACGCCCTCACAGGACCCCTCACTCAGCCCAATCTCCGAGAAGCAGCACTTACAGCCCTTGCTACTCTTATAGCTCTAATTCAAGGTGGGGGAAAATAATATTGTGCACAGCTCCTTGAAAGATTGCCAATCCCTGCAGCCAGGAGATGAGGTAATATGATAAGGAAGGCCAACAGCAGTTCAGAGAGCTGGATCTTCTTAGCCCTCATTATTGTGCAGCCCCATCTAACCACTTGCTGTTCTGCTGTCAGCCACAGCCAACATTCAAGACCAAAGAACAGAGATTACACATCCTTTCTCAGTTTTTTATGCTACAGCACTTCAATGACATTCACAGGGTATGTCCTAAAAGTGTTTCACTCCTGTATAATCAAATCAGAGTCATTCAGCAATGGCTCATTTGCTGAAACATATAAACATTGCACATGTCTTGTATTTGAAAGAGTGGGATTTTTCTATAGGGAAAAGTTATTTGTCATAGACTTGCCTGATTTGGCAACTTCTCTGATTATTAATAAACCATAATCCTTTCACATTTACAAAATACAGTAAAATAATACTTACCACCTTACGGGCTGCTGTGAGGCATAAACCACTAATTCTCCTGAAGTGTCCAGGGATCCTCCAAAGAATGCAATCTGAAAATAAAATTGTCATTAGTACATGTGGGAGTTTTACCATATTCATCTTCATTCTCCATTACACAAATGACTGATTTGGGGGTTTCAAGTTTGCTCTTGCATGAGAGCAAAAGCCCACGACTTTTTGGTATACCTTAGGGATACCAGGAATCCCATTACTATTAACAGTATTTCTGCTTTTTTACTCTTTTCTCTAAAACAATATGTAAGAGCTTCATTTAAATATAGAAGCCTCACTAGGCAAAATAAGTTTGTGGACTTGTCAAACGCATAAAATTATGTAATTCCATAATATGGAAGACATAAGAGAATTTACACATTCACAAAGCAGTATCAGGCACTGCTAGACACTCGCTAAAGGTGATCTGAACTATTGCTTGGACATAACTATTTCTTTCCATTGGATTTCAAGACAATCCACAGTAACTAAGATCACTAGGTACATCACCAATATTAGGAGTATGTACACTCCACAGATGTAACAGAAACTTTAGATTCAAACTTACTTCAAACTAGACAGAGTGCCTTCAGACAAGTAGAATTCCCAAACTTTGCTCACTCTTGAAAGTGAGCACATTATAAATCAGGGGGGCTAAGCTGGATTCCCATGTCTGCCACAAGACTTCAGTATGACCCTGAGGTAACATCAGAAAAGGAATTTTCTGGCATCCCAACCACAGGTAGGGAGCTTGAGTCACCTGGAAATTTCCACTCCGATCTGCAGCTTTGAAAAACTTATTTTAATCCCTTTCTGCCCCTGTAAATTGGGGGTCATGGTTTTTCTCCTTTCCTTGCTTGCCATTTGCTTAGTCTGGGAATCCTCATGCGTTGTTTCTGTCTCTTGTATCATGTACAATTGGGGTGTTTAATACAGTGGGACACTGATCTTAGCCTTTATGCATTCAGGGAAAACAAGCACAGTGATGACACCTCAACAGCGACAACTACGTATCTACATGCTGCTCACACAGACAGAGAAAAGCATCCCCCAATTTCATCCCCCAAATACACAGTCTGAAGTGCCAATCTTTGTTGAACAGGCTTGCAAGCTTAAAAAATGCCCTTCTGGGCCTCCCTGTTTCTCGTCCCTCAGTAATTTCAACACATACATTCACTACAAGGAAATCGAGAGTAGAAAGAGAGGGCATTAATTAAGCTCTCCTGCTCCACAGTTTTTGCTAGAAACTTGACTCAAAACAGGCTTTTAATCCAAGAATTGCATTATATTTTTTACTACATGCTTTATGCATTCCTAGACCTCACCTAGATTAGAAGTGGATGAGCCAAAGTAAACACACATGTGCATACACACACACTGAGTGCTAGGTGCATTTTTCTGCGTGAGAGAGAGTTAGTTTGCTTTCCCAGTCTCTCTGCATCTGTAAGCAGGAAGGCTTAAAAACCTTGCAAAGAAAGTCTGTTCCCATGAGAATTCCTGCCTCACTCTCTGCAGATTAAAAGAAGCAATCTCTGCCTACTATGCATGGGAATCCCAGTATTTTGGCATGGTTTTAACATCAGCATCATTAGAAACATTGATTTATTTTAATTGTCACCTTATACCCTACACTGCCAAATGCAGTCGGAATGTCAATTCTTTATCAATGTGAGCTGTTGACATGGAAACAGATCTGCTGAAATGGAAGCAGTAAGAAAAAATGTGTTACTCTTCCAAGTTATACTTAGAAGTGGTAAATCTGTGTGTGCTACAACAGATTTAAATACTCAGTAAACTACACAGAAGAAATAAACTATTTGGGGTGACAGTCATTTTCGTTGTTTACATCACAGACTGCATTTAGAAAATCTCCAGTGTTACTATGGTAACAGGTTTTGCTTAAACGTAGTTGTGGACGCACTTAAGGTATGATCTAAATTAACCAAAGATGGAGGAACAAAACTGGGCAGCAATTGCTGAAGGAGTGACTGGCTGCTTCCTATCAGCCCATCCGATCTGCAGCAGGCAAGGGTACAGCCAGAGCGCTGTGTAGCATAGACACCTTGGCTCATCCCTGTCTGTACTCTCAGAGAGCACCTGAAGCAGCTGACAGACCACACCAGGTAGGTTTTAAAGATAACAAAGAAAAACAGAACTCCTTATCATCCCCACACAGCTTGTAGTGCACCCCAGAGCTGCTTGTTCCCTCCCTCTGGTTGCCAAATAGGTGATGGGAAGAAGAGGAAGGCAAGAAAAGGAGCCTAGAAGAGGAGCCGGAGGCCTTGTCTGCACCTCTGGCAAAGTCTGTGGCTTTCCTCTTTGGGATCTTTCCCAGGGAAGAGAACAGAGCTACAAAAAGGCAAGTCTGTAGCACAAGCTTTCTGCCAAAATTCGTGACTTGGAACGGACACTGCCTCACAATTAACTTCACACAGCTAAGAAACTGTCCTAAAAGATGCAGTGCAGACCTTTGACCAGCACTACATTTCCACTAGAAAGATTAAATCTCTGTGCTGCTAAAGCTAGTTTCATAGTCATAGGGAACAAGGCCAGAGGGGCCACTGTGATCTGCTGTTCATAATAGGGATTAAAGGAACCTATGGTCTCCTGCACACCTGCCTCCAACCTGAAAGCAAACGACGGGGAGATGGAGATCACTCAGCAGAAAATGGAGGGAGAGGCTCCTCTTGCCCTCTTGCCAGATGCCAGGGCAAGGGGCAACAGAAGGAACAGACGCATTTGAAACAACTTCTCTGAAGAGGATCATGGAGGCGTTTGGAGCCAGAGACTGTTCAAAGCTTGTGGATCCCGGCAATGCTGTGAGGCAGTCCAGTTTTGAACCTGCTCAGAGCAAACCAGCCCTGCTCCCACTTCGATTGTGATAAGACAGCAAGGCATGCAGATTTTTTTTCTTTTCTTCTCTTTTCTGCTTTTCACATTTCTGCACGATTACATTAGATAATGATACAAACCTCCCAAAAGCTTGTGCGTCAATTAACAAGGCAAGGAAGGACACACATCAATTATTACACACCGGCCTCTGAAACACGGACATAGGATATGGCATAACATTCTAAAAATAGCAGGAAGGCCTGCCTTGTTTAGGCAAGTTTTATTTGAATTCCCATAATAAAGCATTTGATATTAAACAACGGAGAGGAAGACGCACCACTGTTTAGCCTCAATGGGTGTTCCAGACAGATCTGTTATAACTTAATCTGCACGGCAAAAGGCAAAGCCAAGGAATGTAAGTTTATGTGAGTATGAGACAAAATAGTGCTTTAAACTTCTACAGCGTTTATCAACCCAAATTACTCTACAAACATATACTAACTTAAATGCTTCCATCTGTATTGTTATCTTATTCCATCTGTATTGTTATCTTGTATTTGGGTGAGGTGCTGGGTTAGATACTGGGCCAAATTGCTGATATAGCTCTATGCAGTCAGAGATGAGGAGACAGGTTGCTGGCTGTCATAGCTGTTCACAGAATTCTGCCTTTCTTAAATAGGGATGAAGAAAGGACCTGCAGTGCATGTCTCTAGGTACAACGGCTCTACATCAGCTTTGCCCTGTGAGTGAGATAGCATAGTATTTCTAGATCATTGAGGCATGGATATTAGTGGCACACATCCTCCTGGAAAGAGAGACATCCTCTGTCTCAATCTGCTTGTAGGGAAAGTGGAACAGACTGATGAAGGAGGCATAAAAGCATCTTGCTTATACCCAGTATTCACATAGGAAATAGTAATTTGCAGGTGATGACTTGCAGACATTCACACACACACACACAAAAAAAACCCAACAAAACCAACCAACCAACCAAAAACAAAACAAAAACCGCAAAACCCACAACTTCTCCCAGAATAAATCAAGACTTCACACATGCATCCACAAAGCCTCCATCCTTCTTCTTCATCCTCTGGAGTGAATTGTGGTTGCCAGAAATACATATTGCAAAGGGACAAGGAAAAAAGTATAGTGGAACTATTATTGCACACTCATACTCTTTTGAAACATGCACATGGGGCAACTTGGCTTGCAGTTAGAACATACAAGATCATTATATTCAAAGCCTCATCTGAAAACATAAATTATCCTATACTATACTATATCCTATACAGCAATAGAAGAGGCAATCTTCTGTCTATGTCTCCATCTTCAATATTAGAAACCAAAGGTATTGTTTTCTAATGTCCCTTATACATCTGAGGAGCAGATGATCCTGAAAGCCACAGTGTTTTGATCCTACATAAATTGGATGCTTTTGACAATGTCACCCAGAATTTTCATGTCAGTCCCAGGAAAACATAATCTAAAACAGAGGATCATTTTTATCTTCCTCCTGACTCAGCACCAGAGAGAGAATTATAAATGGAAAATGAGTGTTCATGAGGGTAAATATACCTGCTGTAATCCTACTGCCAACAGAATTAAGATTTGCCTGCTGCAGCAAGCCATATGTTAGCTGGAGGAAAGGTAAGACTTGCTGGTTTTCAGAAGTCACTGGTGGTCCTTTCTGTGTTATAATTCAGTATTTTAGAGCATAAAAAACAATGGATGGATGGAGGAGGAGAGAGAGAAACAGAAGAGAGAGAAGAAAGAAAAGTATTTCTTGCCTCTGCCTGTGATTATATAAGTGACAGCAATAAAGGAATCGAGTAGCACCGCAAGAAACTGGAGAGGGTGGATTCTCTTCACAGAATTACAGAACCATTGTGGCTGGAAGGGAAGATCATCTAAGTCCAACTCACCTACTAAAGCAGGTTTACCTAGAATCCACCTTGGTATCAAATTCAAATGATTCTCTTACTGACTGGTAAGATGAAGCAGCTTATTTTCTCAGGTGCTCTTCAGACTAACCATGACTTCCACCTCTGGAACTGGAAGAATTCCATGACAAGCAAGCATAGACAGGCTATCATTCGGCAGCAATAGCTCAATACTGACTGAAAGTTTCATTTGTCAGGGGGAAGAATTGTTGGTTTTCTTTTTAAATTAACACAGAAGAAGAAAAAGATATTTGTCCAGACCCAGGTGCTTTTTCATTCCTCCAGCAG